CCCCTCCCTCCCTCCCTCCCTCCCTCCCTCCCTGTGTGTGTGTGTGTGTGTGTGTGTGTGTGTGTGTGTTTCTCCTACCCTGTCTCTAACCACCTTCTTTGGTGCTAGGATAAAAATGGAATCCGATTCGGAGCAGGGACGCCAAGCGAGGTGGACAGGGACAGATTCAACATCGCCCTTCCCCTGACTTCTGAGCTGCAGTGCCGACCCCTCCACCCTACCACTCCTTTCCCAGACTCCTCCCTCACCAGACCTGGTCTCCTCTGTCCCCGGCAGAAACGCGATGAGCAGCCACGGCAACAGTCTGTTCCTGAGAGAGAGCGGCATGGGTGGTGTGGGCTGTCTGCAGGGCCTGCAGGACAGTCTGCAGCAGAGAGCATTGCGCACGCGCCTGCGTCTTCAGACCATGACCCGAGAGCACGTGCGGCGTTTCCTGCGCAGGAATGCCTTCATCCTGCTCACAGTCAGCGCAGTGATCATTGGTGAGTTCTGCTTCTGGGAGGCGGGACTTCTATTAACCGCACCCCCGCCCCGTGCACTCATCTCACGTGTCCCCAGTTCCTCAGAGGACACAGGGAGAGAGGGCACACACATAGGTAAGCACAGCTGTATGAACGCGATGTGCACATGCAAGTACACTGCGCAAACATGCACCTTACGACCACACACAGAGAAGGATGAGTATGTCTTACAAATGTACAGAATTTAGAGGTGCAATCACATAAACTGTGCAAACGTTTATAAATATGCAGCTCTCCTTTGGGAGATTGGGTCCAGCAAACACTACCCCATTTATTTAAGGAATGTGAGTGTCTATTGATTTGGATATTCGGGGATTTGATTATTCACAAGCTTTTGTTATCTGTGGATACTCAAGTCCTTTTAATAAAATGCGGATAGTGTTTGTATACGATCTGTGGCTATCTTGCTCTCTAGGTTACTTGTAACATCTAAAGCAACTTAACTGCTAGGTAAATAGTTGTTGTACTGCATTGTCTAGGGAATAGTGATAATAGAAAAAAATCTCTTTATGTTTAACAGACGCAACTTAAAATTATGTGTATGTTGTATGGAAGAATGGGTTTCATTATGGCATCTTCATATCTATATCCAATCTGCTTTGGTCATATTCTTTTTCCTTCACCCCTTCTTACCCAGGTACCCCACTGTGGGGTCCCTTCCCTCTCCCCCAATAGCTCCCCTTCTGATTTCATCAGATAACAATATTTCCCCTAAAAATTTCCATGTTGCTTGATTAATTTGACAGTGTGGTGTCCAAGGATACCAGGGCCACCTCTGTTAGGTTTCTCCATGCTTAGAAGCATAATTACATATGGACTTCCATGTTTGAAAATGATAACATAGACACAAGAGTCACACTTATAGACAGACCCAAGAAATGCATGTACATATCTTTGTATATGAGCCCACATATTCAGCCACATGTTTATGCTCACAACTGAATGTATACTGTCACATATACGTGCATGAGTGTACATACACCCTATGCACACACAAATGAACACAATACACACATATATCCATGGCGCACAACTGCACACACACACACCCATTCGCACAAATGCACATCGTGCACACATACCCGTGCTCACACAAATGTGCATACATACTCACACACACTCGCTCATTCATGCACATACACACCCAGGAACACACCCATGTACACGCAGACCCATGCATATGCAAATGCACACTTCCTCCTAGCACGCACATGCCCATGAAAGTACCCATGTGCATGCCCATACATATACATAGTCATGCATACAACCTTTTACACATGCCCATGCATGTGTAAAATATCCACATCCATATATGTGCAAGTACACATATGTACCCATGCACAAATGTATCCATGCACATGAATGCACACCCTCATAGAATATTCACTGCTCACCCTATTATACTGTCTTTGGGATGGATGGACCCTGCCTGGGGTTGAGATCCACAGTCCATTCCATGAACCCTTCCTTTCCGGCTCCAGGGGTCAGCCTGGCATTCGCCTTGCGCCCATACCAGCTCTCCTACCGCCAGATCAAGTACTTCTCTTTTCCTGGTGAGCTGCTCATGAGGATGCTACAGATGCTGGTGCTTCCCCTCATCGTCTCCAGTCTTGTCACAGGTGAGAGCCCAAGTCATCGTGCATCTCCAGGGCCCATTCAGAGACCAAACGTGAGAAAAGAGGCAGGGCTACCCTAACCATGGGAGCCCTTTCCCAACTCATCAACTCAGACTGTGCCCAGGTCTCACTTAGGAGCTGCTGCCACATGAGCCGTGTAGTCCAATAACTTCCTTGTATGCCATCGTTCCAGAGGTCAGGGCTATCCAGAGGTGAAGAAAGGTCACAGAGGGGCAGGGAGAGTAGCCAGGACATGGGGTAGATGAGTAGGAGATGGGATGTGGGTGACCATGTAGGAGGTGAGTGAGGGGGATGGAGGTGTCAGGATGGAGAGTGAAGAAAGGAAAGGAAGGGGCTGGGGATGGGGAGTGTAGCTCCGTTCCTTTGAGATAGTCAATGCTTGTGGCGTCAAGGGCCATCCGATCTTCATTGCAGTGCTCCAGTTCTGATGCTGGAGTAGAAGAGCACCTATAGGCAGTATGTCAACAAGCGGGCCGGGCTGTCGCCCTAGCTTCATTTATGTTGTAATAAAACACTTGACATAAAGCAACTTAGGGGAGAAAGAGTTTATTTTAGCCCACCATTCCAAGTTTTATCCCACCATTCAAGGAGATCACAACCCATCCACAACCAAGAGCAGAAAATAAATGGACACATGCTTATTTGTATCAAGCAACATTATAACATGAATAATAAAAACCCAGGGGTAGATATTGGGGTTCAAGCTGAAAATCAGAAAAGCAAAGCAGGCAAGCCACTTCTCTTACCTCTACCAAGCTGAAATAGTGGTCCTGTCTCCATGAATCCTCAAAGACAATGCTCTCCATGGACCCTCAGAAGCAAATGCCCTGAGCTCCTGTCTCCTCCTGTCTTATACTCCTTTCTCTGCCCAGCCATATCACTCCTGTCTCCACCTCCCTAGTGCTGAGATTAAAGGCGTGAGCTCTGTTACTCTCTAGATTGATTCACTCTCGTGTAGCCCAGGGTGGCCGAAGATCACTCAGGACTCTGTCCTGAGTCTTGGGATTAGAGGTGTGCGCCACCTCTGCCTATTTCTATGGCTGACTAGTATGGCTGCTGGAATTAAAGGTGTGTATCACTATTGTCTGACTCTATGGCTGTGACTAGCTTTGTATTTTGATCTCCAGTGGCTTTATTAAATCATAAGTAATACACTACCACACAACATCTCTACAGGTACACAGTTCCAAATCCCTTGCCTAGGGAACCGTGCTGCACACAATAGGTGGGCCTTCATCCTTCAATAGTGTAATCTGGACAAACCCTCACAGACATGACCACAGGTCCACCTGATCTAGACAATCCCCCATTGAGTCTCTCTTCCTAGTGCTTCTAGATTGTGTTAACAATTGAAACTACTCATCAGAGTTGTGTTTCAATAAAACTTTATTTAGTGCACAAAATTTAGCCCATAGGTGGTGTATAACAACCCTTGGGTTAGGGACAGAAATGATGATCAAGGCTTAAAACACTGGTTTCTTAGATTGGGCTTCTCAGAAGCCAAGCCTGACATGTGGCCCTGGTCACAAGAGATCACCAAGGGAGAAACTCAGGAGGAAGCGAAGAAGCAGGACAGGTGGGGAAAGGAGCTAAGCAAAGATGTGTGTTTAGAAGAAGGTTGGTGTCTCAGTGTGATCCCACTGGGTGGGGTCTCTGAATGTGAGCAGCATCATGGAGTTGTCCCTCATCCCCAGCTCTGTCTTTATCCGAATCCCTGAGCCAGCCAGTCATTGACTGTAGCTGACTCTGGGGCCGTTCTGGAGGAGGAAGCTCTCATTCTGCTGGGGATCATTCTTAGGAGAAGGAAAAAGTGCAGGCTGTTAGTATCCCAAACTCATAGCAGCTGGATGGTGGCATTGGCCTGGTAGTGGACATGTAGGTACAGCATGAACAGTACCCAGGAAGAATGTAGAAAGAGGTGGGTTTAAGGGAGGTGAGAGTTGGGCTACATCATGGGATGAAGACTTCAGTGTTTGGGATATTTATGGTACAGGGATAAGGGGAGGGTTGGGTGGGAGTTGAAAGGTTGACTTGGAGTAAAGGGGGGTACTGTGATTGGTGGAGTTATTTGGAATAAAAAACTGGAATGGTATGTGCTCATGTGTGTGTGTTCCCTTCAGTCTGTGTATTGTGGTGAGTGAACTGGTTTTCAGTCAGGTCTAGGGTGCTGGCCCAGTTACTCATTTCTTGAACAATATTTTCATTAAAAATTGTTTTTAGCTTGAGAATCAAAAGATGAATCATCCCTTGGTTGGACCATCAGGGGACTGATCCCAAAATCCCTATAGTTACCAATACCTGAGGACGCTGAAGCCCTTTCTGTAAAATGATGTAGTGTTTGCAGATGACCTCTGCCTCTCCTCTCATGTACTTCAAAACGTCTCTAGATAATGGGGTATACCCTGTACAGTGTACAGCTTTATTTCAAAGTGAAACAGAACTTTTATATATTTAGTTATTATTATTTACTCATGTGTCTATATGGGTATGTGCACATGAATGCAGGTACCCAGAAGGGGCCATCAGATACCCTGGAGCTGGAGTTTCAAGTGGTTGTGAGCCCCCGAACGTTTGTGCTGCTAAAGGAACTTGGGCTCCCTGTAAGAGCAGTATGTGTTCTTAACTACTGAGTTATCTCATCAGCCCCCTTTATTCACCTAAAAAACTGCAATCAAATTATATCTTACCTGATAAAATATTTATTGGTGATAGCATAGAAGTGGTTGTATAGGTAACTATCAGCATTTGAAGGTGGACCCGTGGTCTCTGTGGACATCTTCAGTTAAGGCATGTGCAATGGGACAGATGGAGGGAACAAGGATGGGTGCCGTAGCACAGACTGCATTATCTCTCTTCTAGGTATGGCATCCCTGGACAACAAGGCGACAGGGAGGATGGGAATGCGGGCAGCTGTGTACTACATGGTGACCACAGTCATTGCGGTTTTCATCGGGATCCTAATGGTCACCATCATCCATCCTGGGAAGGGCTCCAAGGAGGGGCTGCACCGTGAGGGCCGCATCGAGACTGTCCCAACAGCTGATGCTTTCATGGACCTGGTCAGGTGACACTCTCATTTTGTTGAGACTTCTAGATGCACACGCAACGACTCTCTTTCCATGAGAGACCACAGGGAAAGGTGGATCTAGTTTGGAAAAGGAAGCAACTATTGGTTGCTATTGTGGAACTCGCTTTCTGCCCTGCATATCCTCAAGAAAGCTACATCTAGGTATGATCTTTGCACTCTGAGGCTGGAGAGGACACAGTTGTAGTGTCTCAGGACTGAGTAAGCGGAGCTGCTGTTCGATAGGCTCTTCCAACCTCCTGTGGTGAGCAAATGATTCCTAGTCCAACAAGACTTCACCTGTCAATATTAGTGGCAAAGCCAGCCATATTGTCCCCATAGTACTGACTTGGAGTTGGGAGAGTTTAGGAACTCTTAAGGTATTTTCTGCAATAGCTGAGGCCAATGAGATGGCTCAGTGGTCAAAAGTATTTGCTGCCAAGCCTGACCACCTGAATTCGATCCTCTGGACCACCTGGTGGAAGGAGAATCTCACAGCTTGTCTTCCTACCTCCATATACACGCCGTGGGCGCGCACACACACACACACACACACACACACACACACACACACACACGTACATGCACACAAACACACATATCCCTGAATAAGTGTAATAAAATTTAGGGCCAGTGAGATGATTTAGTGGGTAGAGGCACTTGTCATCAGGCCTGATAACCCGATGGGACCCACATGGTGGAATGAAAGAACCAACTCCTACAAGTTGTCTACCCTTTACATGTACACCATGGCACTGCACCTCCCCAATACACGTATTAAAAATTAAATAAAAGTATACTTGAAACTTAGTTAGTTGTAAAATAAAAACAAAACCAAAAACCCCAAAGACAAAGGTTTATTATTTAGCTCATTATTCAGGGATGTAGGATGTCCAAGAACTTGGTACCAGCATCTGGTGAGGACAAGCTAGCTGCATCCAACATGGCAGAGAGCATATGATGGCTAGCCAGAGCAAGCGTATAAAGATGGAGGTTTCTGTCCCGTCAGGTTCCGCTGCCCTTCAGTCCCAAATAAGCACACAGATACTATATTAATTTATAAATTGTTGGCGGCTTACTGGCTAGCTCTCTCTTAAGTATTAACCCATAATACTAATCTATGTATTTCTACATGGCCTTATCTTACCAGAGAATGCCTGGCACATCCCATCTTCCTACATGGCATCTCTCTCGGCGGCCTCTGCCTGCCTCCTCTCCCCAGAATTCTCTTTGTTTCATAACCTCACCTATATTTCCTGTCTGGCTATTGACCAATCGATGTTTTATTCATCAACCAATAAGAGAAACATATATACAGAAGGACATCGCCCATCAAGCGTATCAAAAACAATGCCACTTCCTGTTAATCTATATATCTCTTTGGTCCAAGGCTCCACATCCCAACATCACCTTTATGGCAATCAGATTCCAACATGACATTTTTTTGGGGGGCTAACGATAGTCAATCCTCGGTAAGTTACATCTGCACCTTTGAGCAGCTCTGTGGGTCCTCTGGCCTTTGCTTACCTTGTTTGGAAGCTAGGGATAGTAACAGTACTTATTTCTAGAGTCATTGTAAGGGTTGATGCCAGCTGACGTAGGGCAGGTGCTTTGCTCAGAACTTGGCCCACACCATACATTTCTACATTGCCTGCTGCCACTATTGCCATTGCTATCAGTAATCACCTTTGGCTGACTTCCCAAGTCTAACTGCTTTCCCTTTTCTCATGTTTTTTTGTGCAGAAATATGTTCCCACCTAACCTTGTGGAGGCCTGCTTCAAACAGGTTAGGACGAAACATGTGGTTTGATCAAAGAGCAGTGGAGAGTGGAGGGTGGAGGGTGGAGGGTGGAGGG